AATGGCTTATCTTACTATACAAACGTTTACTGTGAACAAGTACAGTCTTACGAATGGCTTATCTTGCTATACAAACGTTTCCTGTGAACAAGTACAGTCTTATTAATGGCTTATCTTACTATACAAACGTTTACTGTGAACAAGTACAGTCTTACGAATGGCTTATCTTGCTATACAAACGTTTCCTGTGAACAAGTACAGTCTTATTAATGGCTTATCTTACTATACAAACGTTTACTGTGAAAAAGTACATTCTTACGAATGGCTTATCTTGCTATACAAACGTTTCCTGTGAACAAGTACAGTCTTATTAATGGCTTATCTTACTATACAAACGTTTACTGTGAACAAGTACAGTCTTACGAATGTCTTATCTTGCTATACAAACGTTTACTGTGAACAAGTACAGTCTTACGAATGGCTTATCTTGTTATACAAACGTTTACTGTGAACAAGTACAGTCTTACGGATGGCTTATCTTGCTATACAAACGTTTCCTATGAACAAGTACAGTCTTATTAATGGCTTATTTCACTATACAAACGTTTTCTGTGAACAAGTACAGTCTTACGAATGGGTTATCTTGCTATACAAACGTTTTCTGTGAACAAGTACAGCCTTATTTTACTATACAAACGTTTACTGTGAACAAGAATATTTAATAATATATAGGTTACTTAGATTATTGTTTTGAATAAATTACTTTGTTCAAAGAAACATAGCTTTCTGGAATTGATGTTCATCATTTAAATACAAAAGAGGAGTTTCAGAGAGTTGTATAAGAACCGAAAATCGAACTCTTATTTAAATAATCCTTCTTTATATATATATTTCTTTATTTTTTCCAATGGATGGCTATAATACATACAGGAATATAGAATATATATAATTCATAACGAGGGCATAATTTTGTTCACTTTATGTAATGAATGAATGATGTTTCTTAACACTAGATATAAATGAAAATCTAATCATATTTTAACATGTTTATTAATAGATGTAGTAGTCCTAGCACAATTAAAAATAAGGCTTACTTTTAGCAGTTAGTTTATTAAAGCAAACCTACGTAGAAACAATGTACATTGTATAACAAAAATCAAACTGTATAACGACATAAGTTAAAGTTTGTTTCGACATCAGAAAACAAATTATTATCCTTTAATTTAGTTAAAAATAAATTGGCGAAAAATACAAAAGCTTGCACGTTTAATTATGGTCTTTACAAAGGGCATCTTTCCATTCTGAATAGTTTGATCTCGGAGCCTCTTCCTCCTCAAGGTACAGTCGCCTCGTTCTTATAAAGGAAATAAATATATCTTAGTTAGAGGTATTCAAAGAGTCACTAAGAAGAAAAAAAAAGAGCATATTACTGGAAAATAATATATTTGTTTAAACAATACTTATAAAATGATTTAAACTGATCTGATTATTTACACGTAAGCATTATAAAACCAGCTTTGAAAATAGTTTAACCTACTCTAAAGATGTAAAACGTTCTCTCCTTTACTCGCATTATCCAGTAAACATATTCGTTTAATAATCAAAATTCAAAATACGTGTTGCATAAAATGGTATAATTATAGTGTTATGTCTGTTTAATTAATCCTGGCTGAATTGTATGGATACTTTACGATATTAAACTTACATTCTTTAATCATTTCTTGAGAATTTTTTTTTCTTCATTCTACAAACAGAAACAGAAAGATTAATAAACATTTATATAATATCATCTTTATCGATATTTAACGATAAGTAACTATCCTTTATTAAAAGACTTGCGCCTTATATTTAACGATGTATCTTATTATCTAATATACTTTATTTATGGAAGGATTGCCTACATAGTAACGTATAAAAAGATTATGTTGATTATATAACTACTAAGCTCCATGCCTTCTTAAACTGTATCTAAACTGTATTTAAAACT